GGAGGGGCGACACCGCGCGCACCGTGAGGGGATGGACGGCGGAGGCGGGAAGGGGGAGCGCCAAAGGAGGAAGGCCGGGAAGGCGGCGATGGGAAAACGCTGAGGGCGGGAAAGTACCTCAGTCGCGGGCCCCCCCGGCCCCGCACGGCAGGAGCCCGGCCCCGAGGAGCACAGCATCACTGCGGGGGACAGGCCGGCAGCCAGTACAGAGGCTTACCACAGCGCTGAGGGCAACCCCTGCCTGCCTGCAGGGAGCCAGCAGAAGCAACGTGGCTAGCAGCATTTCGACTCAGCGAGCAAAAGCACTCCTTCCTTGCTTGCTTGGCCCCACGCTGCTGGCACGTTGTTAGAGGAAAGCCTCCCTGAAGCAGCAGGCACAGAGCTGGCCCAAGGGCTGCTTCTGCTGTGGCAATGGAGGACACAGCCAAAAAAAAAAACCCAAAAAAAAACCCCACCCAAAAAACAAACTCAGAGCAACAAGAAGCCCTGAAGGTACCTACAGCCCCTGGAGCCCAGCAAGGTGAAAGTCACTCTGGAGTGCTGTCAGGCACCTGCCACTCAGTCAAACTGTACTGTGAAATACCATGTCTGAGAAACAGAAGCAAACCCAGCGTTCTTTTTGTTTGATTTAGCAATCAGAGTGAAACAGGTATGTTGCTGATTGCCCAACTTCATCCCCAACCTGCCAAAGCCTACAGCAGACAGCTTACTTCTAAATCTTTATTTGCTTTCTACACAGAGAAAACAGAGGAATGTTGAAGCAGCAATATTTAAACACACTAGCAGGGAGCCATCAATCTGTGAGAGTGCACAAAATGCAATACAGGGCCATTTGTGCGGTGGTCTCTGCTAAGGGGCAGGATGAGGGTAGGTCCAGGAGCAGCCTCTTCAGACAGATGGAGAGGTCTACGCAAAGGTGGAGCCATTCCAGCCCACGTTGGCGGCATTCATGTCGAAGTAGTTGATGTACACCCTGCAGAAGAGGCACAGGAAGACACAAACAATGACCTTATTAACTCATTTATATAAGTAATGAGTGAGACAGGACAACAGGACAGGGGACAGTGCTTCCCATTCCTCAGAAGAAATGTCAAGCTTCATTTTTACTGAAATCTAGCTAACTTCTCTGGTAGAGCCTCCAAACAGTCAATATTCCTCAGAGTCCCTGGAATTGTACTTTTTTTCTTTTTTAAAATACAAACTCTTCTTCAGTCAGGGACTGCCCAGACACCAGACAGCTTTTGGTTAGCAGCCTGTCACAAATTTCCGGAGATCAAAACCTTTTGTTTCTGAGTGCTGCAGTCCTTCACACGTGTCAGACAGACGGGCAGCCTTACGAAAGCCAAGCAGGCCCTCGGGGCCAGCTCTGCACTTCTCCGTTCCAACCCCAGCATGTCAGTGGCAGCAGGTTCTTCCGTCCTTCACCGCTGCATGCAGACACTCTTCCCAAGGCTCTGCAGCCTGCGAGGGAGCTGTTCACAGCCTGCTGGTTTCTACTTTGCCTGTCAGCTCCAGCCTGTTACTGCTCCTCCCTCGTGCTTTCAGCCTCCCATCACCAGAGGACATCACACCTCAACGGCAAAAAACACACTGTACAACTTGTCAGTCCTCTGGGACCTTTCCCTACTCTGAGAACAGGAAGCCATTTAACAGAGGACTCTCAAGGGAAAGATGTAGGCCTAAAACTCTTAACTGGACATGAAAACACTGCAAATAATCACTTTGTATTTTCTCAAATACATGGACTTATTCCTGGCTTTTTGTATTTTTAAATTAACTTTTCAAGACAGTTTCAGAGAGCCAGATAAACAAGGTTAATAACATCATGTCCCAGCCGTACCTGTCTGCAGATACGTGCAAGTGCTTAGAGATCAGATCACACAGGAGCTTGGTGTAGGTCTTGTTCTGCTGCCCTCCTATTTTGCCGATGCTGTAAAGGCTGCAGAGCGCGCAGGGATCAGTGGAGCCCCCGAAGGACATCATCTGATCAGGTATGATGTGCACAGCGATGTACTGTGATAAGAGAACAAACAGTTACAGGATTTCTCACCTTCCCTCTCCCGATACAAACTTGCTTTAGGTACCAAATTTAAACAGTGCAGTTGTGTGCTGTATTGTGGCCCAGGCAGCTCTCCAGCGCTGCTCTCTGCGCCCTTCCGAGGCTCAGGCACTGCAGCCCACACGGGTGGCATAGCAGCGCATGCTGTGGGGATCCCCCCCAACCCTGGCTCTCAAGCTTTAGGAACGAAGGTTGTGTTTGTGCAAAGCCGCAGGCGAGATGGGTACTCCTGACCGCCACAGCACCGCCGCTGCGCGGGGCAAAGAGCACACGGCTGGAGATAAAGGCCTTAAAACTATTTGCGTGCCAGAATTCACACCCTCCAATCATTGACTGAGCTGCCGGGCCTGTCCGAGAGCCTGTCTGCAATTCAGCCCTATCGGGCTTTGACTTCTCTGGCTGCAGCGGTCTGGCCCAAGAGGGGCCATATCTGATCCCGGGATAACCGGGAGCAGCCCAGCTCAGTATCTGTTCCTCTGCTGTGCCAGAGACTCGCTGGCCTAGCAGATACCAGCCCCTTCCCCCAAACGTGCCGCCGGCACAGCTCCGCGGCCGAAATCCCGACTCCCGGGCACAAGGGCGAACAAATCCCCGGCGTTGCAGCTATCCGAGCACGGAGTTTCCTGTAGGTCAAGTTACTGCTCCGGGCCGCCAGGCCGATGGCCTCCGGGAGGCGCACCGCCTAGGGACGGGCCGC